TCGCTTTGGAAGAGGGACTTTAATTCCAGACGTATCTTTATCTCTTTCTTTTCTCTCTCTCTCTAGTATTTTCTTTCTTTCTTTTTCTTTTACGTATTTTCTGTCTATTATAATCTCATTAATTTGAAGAAGTTACTTTCTCGGAGCTGGCTGACTATCATCTATGAACGGTACTTACTACTACAGAAGGTGCTTCATTTCTCCAAGTAAAAAAAAACCGTTTAAAAATATTTTACCTTTGTTAGGACAAAGGGACAAGGAACCTTTTTACAGATGTAAAATTCTATTAAGAAGTTTGCTTGCTTGCTTGCTTCTACGTGATCTGCCGCTTGGTCTCCTTGTAAGAAATACTCTTTCGCGTAATTTTACGTCGCTTAAATAAATTGGAAACGTGAGTGAGAAGTAAGATAGTGAATAGAGGAGTGTAAGGAGGTGGGGAAGAGTTAGAAATTAAAAAAAAAAAAGGAAAAATAAAAAAAGCTAGGGAAAGAAGAAAAATAAAGAAGGTACGAATGAAAATGATTCTCTTTTATATTTTTTTCTGTGTCTTTTTTGTTTCTTTTCCTTGCAGCAACCGGTGGCTTCTCTCTTACGTGTTTAAAAAGTCACCGGTTTATCCGGTATTATTATTATCTCTCTCTCTCTCACTCCCTCTCATATTTTTTTTTTGCTTTTTTTTCACAAGTAACGACTCTAAGTCTAACGTAACGAGTACCTACGGTGGTTTTCACAAATGAGTCGAACTACGTCGGAGAAACTTGTTAGTATGTGATGATCATAAACTTAGTATGCACGTAATAAAATGTCAGTTCGGCTTTCTAGAATGCACTCAGCTCCCTTTACTCACTACCCTCTTAGGATAGTGTGGATACATGTATAGTTATATACCCCTACCCCCAATTGTACACATACGATACGTGTATATGTAGACATGGCGTATAAGAGGAAAGGGATGTCTGGTTGGCGTGCACGTGTAAACGTTTGGAAATTCCAGAACTGTCCTTGTTTCCACGTTCGTCGACTAGATTGCAATTACTGCTAATTAATTGAGCAAAGGGTTGAGTCTGAGGAGTCTAGGGACAAAGCAAGACGACGAGGCTGCTGAATCAACGTTGAAATTGTAAAGGAGAATAAGAGTATCACTTCACTTTACTGTATTACATATATATATATATATATGTATATTGCTTCCCATACGAATGTGTTCTTCTTGTCATGTAGATGATAATTATTCGTTAGTTAGTTAGTTAGTTGCTTTAAACTAATTTATGAATTTATTTCTTCTTTCTCGTTAAAATAAAACACACACACAGTTTCAAAAGTCGTATAATAATATTTTCAAAAATAGTTAATAGGGTTTAAAGTTGGTACGTTTATTCTGTTGAAACTTTTATTCCGTTGAATTGTTTTTTTGTAAAAAATTAACATTGAAAATATTAATTCTAGAAAAAACGCAGTAACTTTTTTAATTCATCCTAATTATTGGAAACAAATTGTTGGAACTTATTCGAAATTCAGGTGTTATCCGAAAGGGTGTGTCTATATATGTATATTAAACGTATTAATCGAAGCCAATTAGTAATCCGAGCCTAAATCGTCGATCGTTCTAATAGAGCACACTAATCATACCTCCCCAGATTATAATGACCACTCGTCAATTATCGTACAATTGCAAACTGACAAATTGAAAGCGCTCGAGCAATTACAAACCAACTCAACCCAACCCAACCCAACTAAACTCAACCAAGTTGAGTTTTAGAAAGTGTGATGCAACGCTCTCTCGAGCGTGAAGTTACCTATCGATGTTCGGTGTGTGTGCTGCTTCTGCTTCTGGTGCTGCTGTTACCTGCTATCATCGGCGTTGATTGGATTACTTGATCGAGCGCGTTATTAGCTGCTTTTAAAGAGTTCTCCTAGATCCCCCTCCCCTCCCAACGACGAAGATTTAATGACCTTATCTTCGCTTTCGTGCACTTGGAAAAAAAAGAAAAAGATGAAAAAAAATTGCCTGTGTTCAACAACGATCGTCGTCAACTTCATCCTCATCCTCATCCTGATCCTCTTCATCCTCATAATTTACGTTTAAGTTTGCGAAATATATATAAACGATTTTCACCGATCGTTTATTTCATAAAAGATTATACCTACTTATCATAATCCTAATCGTTATGGAGTGTCGTTCAATGGGGGTAGATTTATTATAGATAGAATAGCCCTATTCCCTTTTTATCCTGTCTTTTCTTTTTTTTTTTTTGATCCTCTAACGATAAATACTTCTTTGAAACCTTTTTATCACGTCCTCGTTTAAAGAAATATAAAAAGCAAAAAGAAAAATCGAAGAGCCAGAAGAAGAAGCTGAATAAGTCAACAAAGATAAAAACGACTCCTGTCATTTCTAACTTTTAACTTTAAAACATCGAAGTATCAACAGCAGAGGCCCGTCACCCCCGCTTATTCCCCCCGATCATCACAGGGAGACAATGGCAAGGTGTATTCTTGAAACTACTAGTTGACTTGCAAAAAGTTATTTGCCATTGAGTAAAGGAATGGCTGCCTGCTGCGTTCAAGGGTTTTAGTAAGATGAAGAAGAAAAGAGAAGAAGGGAGGGAGATCAGAAGAGCCCAGCAAATATTTGCTGTGAGATTGAGGCGAGAACCGGGTTCGAGAATAGGGTTTTGCAAATAAACCCGAATTTATATATATAGTAAATATATTTATACTACAGAGATATATGCTTGTGCGTTTGATGCATGTGTGTTACGGGTTGTACTCGTGTACACGTCCATGTTGAAAATAAACGCAAAATGGCTAAAAGGAAAGAGAGGATAAGAGATATGACAGATCTGTTCGTTCAATATCGACACCAAGCCAAGCCAACCAACCCCACCCTTTTTGGTTCCTTTCGTGTTTTCGAAACCACTGACGTCCTTTCTTCAAGTATGGATACCCAAGTGCTACGAATATTAGCCTGGTGGATGATGCTCTTGAAAACACCAAGAGAAGGAAGAAGAAGATTCGTCAAAGAGAGAGGATTTTCTTCTATCGAAAACTTTCGACGTTATTTGTTTTCCACCTTATATCGTTCTCTATATCCTTGGTTTTGAATATTTATTAAACATTTTCTCGTTTAAATGGTGTCCGATTATTATTACCACGTCAAAAAGAAGATCCATCAAAATTCTAAAGTAAATAAAAAGAAAACTTTGATATAATAGTGCACCGAGAACTCACCTGGATTTATAATTCTAATATAATAATAATAAACATTTTACTTTTAATTAATTAAATTAATATCGTTAAATAGATAATCTACTTATCAGTAGCAATTAATGCATAATAAGTTTATCAATTAAGATATCAAATAGATAAACCAAATATTTATCTTTCCTTTCTCATCCTTTTTTTATTCTTACGGTTCATCCCCTTTTCAAGATTATCTTGTATTATAACACATCCAAGAAAAACTGTTTCCCTTTTCTTCGTAATTGCGAAAAAAAAGAGATATTCTTTCTTTCTTAGAAAATGATGTATTATCTTTCAATCATCGTATTCAATTGTGAAATATCTCGATATCGAGTTGCATTCGTTAAAATCAAAGAAATGAAAATGGAAAAAGGATATCAAATAATGCTTAGAATCTTTTTCTCGCATTATTAACTCAATCCTCGAAGGAGTAGGACGTTATTTTTGATCAAGAAAGGAAAAACAAAACGATGGTAAAAAAAATCTCTTGAGATTATGAATCCGTTGAATGGCTTGAGCCTTTTGTTAAAGAGGCTACCAGATACTATATATATATATATATACAACAACTATCTTCCCTTACACCCAGTATACTCCTTAACGAGTCCCCAACTTCTTTCTACCCTTTTTCCTCTCTCTCTCTGTCTCTGTCTCTGTCTCTCTCCACAATTAGCAGCTTTCCAAAGGGTAGTACCCACTTCTGACAACACAGCACCAGAGCGTACAGCAGAGGAAGGGATTCTCGTTAAACTGGGTCGTGCTTGCCACCCAGAGTTAATTGATAAACAGCCTTAGGCTGAAAATATCTCACCCGTAGATGATACCCCCTGCTAAATAGTTACTCGAGAAAAATAAATATATATTTATTATATATACACATATATATATATATATATATATATATATATATATATTGTATATTATTATATATACACGTACTTTATAAAACGACCCACCCTCAAAATTTTTTAATTTCACTCTCTTTCATATTGCATTGCACAAATATTCGAAGACCATGTAGTTCATTGTAACTACATATGTGTGAATTATTTTCATTGAAAACTGAAAATCTGAAAATAAATACTCAGAATAGTTGATACTAAATGTACAAATAAAATTTGGTTTTAATTTTACAACAGTAATTTTTTTTAAAGCTCTAGTAGAATATTCATTTTACGTTTATACACAAATTTGTACACAATCCCAGTTTGTGTATTACGAATATAATGGTTGAAGTTAAAAGAGAAAAATAACAAAATTGTTTGTCCGTATCTGAGATAGGTTGAAGAGAAAGAATCTTTTTGAAACGGCCACGAGAAAGAAAGGACGAAACACAGTCTGCCTGTATTCGTTGTACTTGTTTTACGATCCTAATCCCTTACATAAAGTAGAAAGAACTTTAAAAAGAATGGATTTGAGTTTTGCAGTCGCGTTTGTCGTACTTTATAATTTTACATTAACATCTGACTTTTAGCGAGAGGTAAAGGAAGGGGAGGAAATGGGTGGTGGTTTCCACGACAAATGGAAAGAAAAAAAGAAAGCTACTTCAAGTTTTCAGATCCTTTGAGTAAAGTTTAGACAAATTTAATTTCCTTTTAAACAAAACAAAACAAAATATATATATATTTAGTCGGTTATCTTATTTTCTGAAGAGTTTTACATAATCCGTTTATCTCGGTTACGAAATGTAAACGAAATACCTATTATAAACTAATATATATACATATATACATATATGCATTATATGTGTGTTGCAGGACTATTGTTAGGTGGTGGGCTGATAGTACTAGCATCAGCTCTATCTGACGCGTCGTTGGAATTACCTAGAAAGTATAGTCTGCCTTCAACGACAAATATGCAAACAGACGATAACGGTTTACCTCAGTATCACTACGGTTGGTGTCTCCAACTCTCAGGATTAGCACTCATCCTGGCCAAAGTAGCTGCTCTTTTAACTATGTCCGGATATATGGCACGATTTCCAACAGTCGAAGACATGGTAAATATTTGAAATTTTACTAAACTCTATAATAAATTCTTTATCATTATTAAAAAAAAAATATAGATATATATAAAGTTTTATAATGAATAAAAGGTTAAAGAGAGATATTCTTTACTGTGGAACATTAAAAAGTTGAAAAGTGAAAGAAAGTAGATACTCGTAATGCTACGTTGAAAGTTAAACATATAATCATGAAATATTATCTTTGTTGGATTTTTCTTCATAATATGCTTTATATTTTTCTTTCGTTTTTAGGTAAGAGTTATGGTACCAGGAGCGGAAAGAAAACTGAGAGAGCGAAGAGGTGTAAGCTCGGAGTACCTCATCAGAGCACATCAAAAGTCACCAGGTCCACCTCAAGCTCGTGGATTTAACCAACCAACTAAAAGTGTACTTGGTACTACTCATAACTTATACATACATATATTTAAGTATCTTATTAATTTTTTGAATGAAAATAAAGTCTAAATAGAAACGCAATTAATGTTTTAGCTCCTCAGAGAGTAGCAGAAGAAGGAACTTCTCTACTTTGTAAGTCAGCCCCTGACATTTGTGCCTCAAACCCACAAGCAATCAGCTATGTGGATAAAGCAGATCTCTCCCACGTTCTTCCAGCTTATCCAGACCCAAAGAATACCGATCCTCGATATACTTTCGTCGATAAGCCAGATGCCAATGTTATCGATTCGCAATTAAGTGGGTTCGCCGACAAAGAAGGTCTCATCGATTCTAGAATTCTATCCGATTCTAGACAAAATATGATCGCATTTAGCGAAAACAAGGAACAAACTCTTAATCAAGAACCACGTTATACGGAATACGCTGCAAGAGCTACCGAGCCAAACGTTGTCGATTCCAGGCTCAGTGGTTTTGCTGAGAAAGAAGGTCTACTTGATTCAAGGCTCGCAGGATATGGCGAGAGGAACGAATCCTTATTGGATACACCACTCGGTTATGATTCACGTTACAACAGTTTAGCTGGACAAACTGTACCTATCACATTGAAACATCATAATACATCAGTATCAGCTATCCAATCTCAATACATTTATCAAAACTTTGGTACGATACATTCTGGTATTTTAAGGGTATCTGAACCTGGTACAAGCTCAAGTTCTAATTCCAGTCAAAGAAGTATGACATTGCAAAATCCTAAACGAAAATCTCAAATTGCTCAAAATACTTTTAGTACGATGGAATGTGAAAAAAGAAAACAACGTGGTCCTGGTTTGGTAGGAAAGGCCGGATTTTATGCAGGTAGTGCCGTATGACCACCACCACCTCCTCCGACCCCCAGGTAACTCCACGAGGAAGAAACGCCACTTTAGTTCGAATAAAGAGAATTTTATCAATGGCGTTTTTAAATAGTATTGGTCGGAGGAAAAGAGAAGAGTGTTTTTAATCGAAATAATCAATAACAAGAAGAAAAAACAAAAGAAAAATAATAAGCGGACAATGGATGCAACATTATCATCGGTCGATAGTGCAGATCCCTATAAAACATTCCGATACGAGCTGCTTGATAATTCAGATCACTGCCCTTAATATGCGTGATAAATTATACCAACAGTCGGATTTACAAGTTCCTGTGATAATATATCCCTGCCCAATGATTCAAGAAAAACATCACTAAATCTTATTACTACTAATGTGATAAAATTTATGTTATGATCATGAAAAAAAACATGCTGCCATGCTAAGATAACTTGAATTATACCAAAATGATGAACGGTCATCACTCAAAACTACAACGTCGGATCCAAAATAAAATGTACATAGAATATTTATCCTAAAAATTAGATATATAAGACATCGATGTGAGGACTAAGAAAATGAAATGATATATATGGAACTTCGATAAATTTATATAATAAGCGAAATGGATCATCGAAGTATTTGACATTCATAAAATCAATATTAATCTAATTACTAATGAAAGGATTATCAAAAAGTTGCGATACAATTAATAAGGAAGATAAGTATGAAAGAAAAACGATAGTAGTTTGCTTAACATAGATATAGCATAAGTGTAAATGATACACCATGTGGTGAAATACATGTTGCAAAATTTCACGTACTATTTATATTAAAAAAATAAAGAAAAAACAATTCCTCTCTTTCTTCCATCGAAAGAAAATAGTTCGTGATTTTTTGCTTATTAACCAAAAAAAAAAACATTAAATCAACTGACTACTCGCAATCAAAATAAAAAAAAATCAAACGAATAAATAAATTTCCCAATGTTATAATCGTTGCAATCATTGCTTAAATATGTTCTACGTTATCATTATCATGATTTAACATTTATAAATATTTGAGAATTTAAACTATGATGTATTGAAAAAAAAAAGAAAATCATGTCATCATCGTCGTGATTAATGCAAAATAAGTAATAATTAAAATTTGATTATAATCGAATGATAATTTTCACTCGTGTTTCGATAAACATAGTAAACGGAACAAAAAAGTAATAAAAGTAATTATAATCGAGAAAGTAAACATAAGTAATCGATAAAGCTGTAATATATTTGATGGTCGATACGAATTCCGTTAATTTACGTGTGGTGTGAACACGTATAATCGTATTTATTAAGAAGAACATCGTGATGAATAATAAGAGCTCGTCTATGTTCTACGTGAAAGAAATTGCCACTGACACGTTTTCATTATTATTGTTAAAATATGTATGTACGTATATACAAAAGTATACGTATGTAACGTTCTTTAACTAATCATTACGGTATAACTTAAATTAAATGAAAATTATCGATACTAAGATACGACAAGATATTCAACTTAAAGAAAACTTAAATTATATGCTTCGTGAAAATGCAAATAACGTTTACACAAGTACATCAATATTGGCAATTAAAAAGCTCGTTATTTACATAGCATTTACACTTATCGCGTGTTCGGTCCGTGGCAAAATCTTTTATCGTATTCACCAATTTCTAACATATCAGGGCAAAGGAAAAAAAATGTTTACTTTACCTGTACGAGATAATAAGCTGACTGCAATCATTTAATTTCGTCTACTTTGTAATTTATTTTCTAGTTGTTTCCCTTTCTCCCTCTCTCCCTCTCTCTTTCTCTATCCGTATTTCCTTATTTGCTTAGAAAATACTTATCTCGCGTTTAGAGAGAAAGAGATCATAAACGTCGAAAATTTTTTAACGATTCCGAAAACCCAATAATCGACGTACATTTATTAAACGGTAATTTTTCTTTTCTTTTTCTTTTTATTTTTTTAAACAGCCACCATACGTTTGTTTGATATGTCACTTTGCACTGCATATAATTATATTGTATAATGATCGTAGCTGAATGTAATAAAATGTTTCTTTTGTATAAAAAAAAAAGATTAAAAAAAAACACCCATGAAAACATTTCATTTTGTCATCCTGTACCATAAATAACGAATTAAATAAATTATAGGTGCAATCATTTATTTCCCTATAATAATATTTCTCTTCGTTAACGATAAGTATAAAAAGAAAATAGATATTAAATATAATCAAATGATTTGTAATTCGTATAAAAATATAAATGTATAAAAAAGAAAAAAAAACTCATAGATCCCAAATAACTTTTGAAATATGATTGAAAATGTATGAATAAAAAAAAGGAGAAGAAAAAGAAAAGAAATTATCGTTCATTATATTTTATAAATCGAATTGTTAACTAATGATAATCTTGAGTTATAAGTGGATAACGTAGGAAAAAGTAGGTATAGAAGTAAATTTTAGAAAACATTCGATAGATGGCATGTATCAACCATGTTTTGTATTATATCCGGCTGGACCGGCCCACTCCTAATGTTTAATTAACACCGCATAATTGCTTGGCCAATTAGAGCACATCGTTTAATATTAATCTGCAATTTGAATTCATTTCAATGCGGTTAAAATTTATTGAATACATAATTAATGCCTCATGTTACGAATGCAAGATACCCACGAGCGTGAACTAAAGCTCGAGGCGGCTTAGCGTGCAAAACTCAACCCACCAACCAACCAAATGATTTATTTATATTAGACGGACACGGAGATGGTTCGTTGGTTTACATTGAAAACTTCCAAGAAAGAAACTTAATGGTCTATAAAAGAGACGCGTATTATACTATACCATAGTAGTACTGGCACGTTTTCGATATTCTTCGTCTATTCTTCTTCTTCTTCCTAACATCGATGATAGTTGGCAAGAAAACCGAAAATGTATCTCCGTGTATCTTCCGCAAAGTTTACTTCTCAACTATAACTTCAAGAGAATACGTATTATGCGTGTATAGTATATATATATATATATACTTTTATACGTTGAAACAGGACAAATATACGCGGAAAGTTTAAATTTGATTTCTAACCTCACTTCTACGAACCTTATTTCCGTACTTTCTTAAAATACTAAACCTATTATGACTCTATACTTATTATAATATTCATATCTTACAACTATGTATGTGTATATGTATACTTCATCTAAGTTACCTTAACTATTACTACGAAAGATTTTACAATGTTGCTTATCAAATTTTCCACCATCTTTTGAATACATATAGTATATATTTATTACATATATTGTATTAGGGTGTAATTAAAAAAAATAATAACTTTAAGTAATAGTAATAATTATCTTATACAGTTGATAGATAATCGAAAATCGATCTATAAAAATCCTTGACACCGAAATCGAAATGAAAAAAAGAAAAAAAGAAATGAGATGAAACGTTATTTGTCTCTCTGTTATTTACCAGCGACACAATCATCCTATATTGTCGTACGTTTCTACTTTTTCCTTTACTATCAACCCCTTCTCTCGTTCGAATATCCAACGAACAACCCCTTTTCGGTAATCTCGCACCCTCGGCTCGTTTCTACTTCCTCGTCCACCACCTCTTCCTCTTCTTCTATCTCCCTCTGCTCATCCACCGGCTGTTGGTATCGGTATTCTCCCTCTAATCCAATTAAAAACGGCGTAGGATCGCACGAAACAGAGCGGCGGCGCACATCGACCACGAGAATTTTAATTGATGTTACAGGTACGAAGAGGGGTAGGTTGGTAGGTAGGTAGGTAGGTATACGTAGGAGGAGGAAGAGAGGATTGCAAATAGAAAGAGGAGAGTAGGTAGAGGAAGTAAAAGAGTTGAAGAGAATCGAAAATAGGGATTTCGGGGGGGGGGGGGTTGGAAAAGCGGGGGTTTTGTTGTACTATAGTAAGGATGATAGTGTGCCACCAAGGCACGTTTTCGTTCACGAGCTTCGAACTTTTGCCAAACACTCACCCCCAATCCTCTTGTTCGGATCCAAATACACGAATATCTCTATCCATCCTAACCCCCTCCTCTAACCCAACCCCTGTTTCTGTTCAACGTGCTTACAAAAGTCACGTTAATCATCGACCGCCACTTCATCTTTACAAAACTCTTTTGACATGTCGACGACTACGAGTTTAAAACTCGTAACAATAATCGAAAGGGATTGATAAATGTTTATTCTAATAATAAATCATATTTTTTATTATACTTTGTTTTTTTTGGGGGGAGGGGGGGTTGTTTTTTCATATAAAAATAATTAATATTTAGTAACACGCGTTTTTATTCGATTACAGAAGTTATTTCATCATTATTGTTTGTCTTTTATATTTAATCTCGTTTAAAATTATTCAAGACATGTCTGACCTTCGTTTAATTTATATATATATATAAAATATTATTCAAAAATTTGATTTTGACATTGCTAATAAATTTATAATACAAAATAATATTTCTATAGATGAAATTTGCTAAAATACATCTTCCTTTCGTTCGTTTAAAATGAACCCTGATCAAATATTTGTCGTAAATATTTTTTAGGACGTAAAAAAAAAACAATCCTTTCTTATCTAGCTAGATATTCTAAATAAATGTTTTCGTGCTATCTTCCTTCGTCTTCTTTATACCGGATTAACATTTTCAAGAAGAGAGAGGGGATGGGCGTCGAGAGTCGAAGGATATCTTAATCCTTTTGGCCATCTATCATCGCAGAGAAAGAGAGGGAGAGAGAGAGTGAGTGAGAAAGTCTACCGGTTAGGCCGATTCTATCTTCTTCCGTTCGCGTTTCTCGTTCTTCTTTCTTTCTTCTTTATTTTTTTTTTTTTTACATTTTTCTTTTCTTTTTCTCACGCACCAACCACCCTTCGTAGTAACTGTAGCCTTTTGTTACCTTGTTTAATAACTTATGATGAATGTACCCTCGGTCTACTTTACTTCCACTTAGTTTTTCTTTTTTCCATAACAACTACGATGTGTCTCAACAGGACCAACGTAGATCCACCCTTTTTTTCCCTCGGGTCTTAAAACGTCCTTTTATACATTTACTGTCTTTATCATACTATACAAATTAAAAGAATACAACATTTCTTTGAAACTTCATTATTTCCTTGTTTATCTTACAATGTACTGACTTACAAACACGGTATATTGAATATTAGAAAATAAAATAAAAAACTAAATGTGTCAAGATGTTAAACAAAACATATTTGTTTTTATTTTAATTAAAATAAGTCAATTTTATATTTAGGTCAGAAAGCGTGTTAACGTATATTCCATCAGGGTTAGAGGGGGTTGTTTTCTAGTATTTGAACTTAAAATTACTATGATATTCGCGTTTCCAATTATCATTAAAGTCGTGAGACAGATGATAGTCGTACGAATTAGACGAGTAAACCGTGGGTTAACTTGAAACGTCGAGAGGTCACTATGCATGTTCACTCACCCCGTGAATGCAAGTAGAACGAGTGAAAGGGGTGGGTGGTGATTGTGGTGGTGGTGGTGGTGGTAGGTACTCTTATCTGGTCAAGAGAACGATGGAGGGAACGTATTAGTAGCCGGTATTAAATTATGGTCAGCCTGAGGCAACCTTTTGCCTGCCGCCAGTGATACCGATGTTGCAACGATAACAAACAACAACCTGGGCCTTCTCTTCTACCACCAACCCTCCTCTCTCGCGGAATTAACCCTCGAGATTGCCGGTGCTTTCGAAGGATAATTTCATTTGGCAGCGAGTCCTGGCTCCCGATGTTGTTTCACTGTGCTACGGGGCTCTCTTGCTCCTGCGTAACTATACTTTTCTATCTTTTTTTTCTTCTTCTTGTTTTTTTAATC